GGGCTCTCGGGTTCCGAGACACGGAGGGAGAGCCTGAGGGGTCCCTGACTTCAGTGATGCCTCGTGTCAGAGGCTGCTGTGGGTGAATGTGCGTGTGAGCTGGGCGCTCTCTCCACGAAGTGCTGCTGAGCCCGGGGTGTGCACCTGGCGCCCACAGGCCCCGCGTGCGGCATGGACATCACGGCTGCTCCTGCACCTCCTCCCGTGGGGGAACGTGAAGGCGCCAGGTGGGGGACCCGTCCCACGGCGAGTGTCCCCGGCCCCTCCCCGCGCCGGGCGTGCAAGCGTGTGTCCGCCGCCCTCCGCGCGTGTGTGAATACCGGGCCCCGTGCGTGTGTAGGCTGGGTGTGATGTAATACTCAGTGACACAGCGGCTGCTGTTCATTCGTTCACACCACCTCCGCGTTTCTCGGCCCTTCTCACCCCTCCCCCGTGCGGCGTTTCACGATTACTTTCTCCTCTTGAGTTTTTCAGAGCCACGTGGGGTGGAGGAGCACGTCTCTCACCCCTCAACCCAACCAGGCAGGGTGGGGTGTGGGGGCCCAGTAGGGAGAGCCCTGGGTGGGTTTCAAGAGGGCTGAGGTTCTGGGCTTAGAACACAAAATCTCAGAGCTGGAAAATCCTCCGTGTTCATCCTGTTTGAACTCTGGTTCTACTGAGGTGACAGCTGGGGCTCAGAGAGGGCAAGCAACTTGCCCAAGGTCACACAGCAAAGTGGTTGGCAGGGCAAAGGCCAGAAAGGAGTCTCCTGATGACAGACTAGGGCACTTCCCTTCCTGGTGGAGTCACCCTCTGAGCTCGCTGCCCCAAGGACTTGACACCAGAGAAAGCCAAATCCCTCTCTGATCCCTTAATCCCACCCCTTAGCCAGAAGCTCACAGAGAGTGCGTTCAGGAGGCTGCCAGCCCTCAGGAGGATTATGGAGCTCTTTCCACAGCCTCTGGAGCCGACTGTTCCCCCAGGAGAGACAGAGGGAAGGACATGCGAGCCCAGAGTGCTCCAGAGTCAGGAGCCAGTCCCCTGGCACCGGGTCTCTTCCAGCTTGGAGACTCAGCAGGGACTGGCAGGGGCCCCACTCATCCCTCTTACCCATGACTCCCGGGTCCTCTGCCCACCCACATTAGGGGGCTTCTGTCTTCCTTCCCCACATCCCCTCCTCTTGCCCACTGTATCTCCCCCCATCATGGCCCACCTTCCCACGGCTGAGATGGTGTTCCCTGTAGGCTCTCTGAGGAGGGGCCCTGGGCCGGGGGCCCCTCCGTGACAGCTGCTGCGTAACAGTGACTCTGTTGCCATTTCTGGCCCTCGCTGCCACCGTGCAAAGCAGCTGTAACCCAAGGAGCCTCATCCATAATTCAGGCTGCGGCTCTCACTGGAAGCGAGGAGGAGGGGAAGGTGGGGGGCTCTGGCTGCCTCTGGCCCTGGGCCTGGCTGGAGAGCTCCTGGGCAGAGGCGGCAGGCCTGGTGAATGGTGCCTTCCTCTCCCTCCTCTGCCTTCAGCTCCTGCCAGGCGCGTGCCCTTTTCCTTCTTGCCACTGTCCCTTCCCCACCCCCTGCTTCTCACGGCTTTAACCCATCACTCCTTCCCTCCAGGCCCGTGTCTTCTCTCTCTCCCCAAGGACCGCAGTTTCACTCCCGGCCCCCATTTTGTGACTCCCTGGCAAAGACTGGGGCAAGATGCACAGAGTGTCAGAGCAGGAGATGGAGCCATCTCATCAGGCAACAGGAGCAAACCCCTTATTTCACAGGGAGTACCCTCAAGGGCTGGGGAGGGGAAGGGTCCAGTTCTGAGTGAGCAGCCCAGGCTTCCTGACCTGAATCTCTGACAGCCTGCCTCCAATAACTTTCTCAAAGGCTTCGTGTCATCCCTCCACTACTATCTGGGCCCAGGAAAGCCCATTCTAACAGCACCCTCCCCGCCTCTGCTCATCCCGTCCTCTCTCTTTCCTTTTCTTTTTTTCTCAAGTCAGCAGGTGATGGCTAGAGTTGCAGGCGAGCATGGAGCAGGGATGGGCAGAAACCATCCATTAGTGAGCACCTACTGTGTGCCAGCCACTGTATTTGTACAGGTCTTTGTGTGTAGAATACAATATAACGTAATCCCCAGGAGATCAACATTATGGCCCCCAATTTGCAGGCGAGGGGAGGGAGGCTCACACACACAGGAAATGAGTTGTTTCAAGTCATGCACCTAGAACAAGGTGGAACCCAGACTGGACAAGTCCACGTCTCTGACCTTTCTTTGGGAGATCCTCATGTCATCCACAGAAACCACCTGAGTGGGAGTTGCTGCACTCCTGGCAACAGGGGCAGGGGGGCAGGAGCTGCACCCAGGGGCACAGGGCTGGGCCAGCAATGACACTGGGTCTGTTTGGCTGTTCAGGGTCAAGGCAAGGAAGGGACCCAGGCTCTCTGCAACTTTCCCCTCCTGGGCTCTAGGCTGTGGTTATTCTAGAGGACGGCAGGGAGTCAGGAAGTGATGACCAGTGTCCAAAAGATGTGGCCAGAACTGACCAGGGGAAGGAACAGAGAGAGAAAGGCCAGAACCCAATATTGATCCTGGAAGGCTGAGGTGCCCAGAGCCAAAAAGTATCCATTCATCGAGGGACCACTGTCAAGGACTCCGGGCTATCAGCCTGGAGCACCAAGGCTCACAAAGTTCTCAGCCCAGGAGGTCCCCCTTTAGTCCAGAGACCCCGGTGAAAGAAGGAAGTTGAGGAGGAAGCAGATGGACACAGGCTGGAGGGCAAGAGCCAGGGTGCCAACCTACAGGGCAGAGCAGCCCCAGGAAAATGCTCCCTGGAAAGGGAGTCCAGGCCTCTGGCTCTGAAGGAGGGGCACACGGGGTCCCAGACAAGAAGTAACAGCTCCACACTCAAAAGGCTAGGAAGGGCTGGGGCCTCTGGGCAGATGCTGAGGGGGCAGGGGCTGAGGAGGTGGTGGTGATGCCAGTGACGCAGGGGCCTGGGGAGGCACTGACGCGGGTGACGGAGGTTTAGAGCTGCTGCAAACAGCTTCTCACCCTGCCAGAATGTAACACCCCAAAATAAGCAGCCACCGTGGCAGCAGCGGCAGGATCCGACGACGACGGGGCCCCGAGATATAAATGGCAGCACAGAGCCAGCCAGAGTGCCTGCCCTTGAAGGCTGCCACCCCACTCGAAAGTGAATGTTCGCCCTCACCGTTCACCCTCACAGCTGCCCCCAAGACCCTGAGCTCAGAGTCCAAGGTCTGGCCCCACTGGCCGCTCCCTGAGAGAAAGGATGTGTCAGGCAAGCACTTTGGAAATGGAGGGCTTCCCACGTGGAAGTGGTTACCAGAAGCCTCTTTGTCTCATCCCTGGGCAGCCCCCCTGATCTCTCCCTCATCCTTTTCTCTCCTTTCTCCCCTCCCTCCCTTTCCAGCCCCTATCCCCATCCTGATTAACCCAGCCCCTCTCCCATCTATGGTTTCCCATCTCAACCCTAGTTCTCATCCTGACCCTCTTTCCCTGTTCCTGACACCCCATCTCTGTTCACCATTCCCATCCTCCAATGGTTTCTGGGGTTCTGATTTTCCCACTCCCCTTTCCTTCCTGGCCCCCAGGGTCCCAGCCCTCTTTCTCTTTCTCATTACTCCCACCCTCAGGCTCTGGGCCCCTGTCCCTAGTGGCCCTAGTCTGCCCTCCACCCCTCGCCTAATCTGGTCTCCCCTCTCCTTCCCTGTTCCTCCGTCTTAACGAGGGTCCCACTTCCCTCCAAGCTTTTCCCGTCTAACCTCTATTCCTCCTCCTCCTCCCCATCTCCCTCTCCTAGCCACTCTCTCCATCCTTGACTGGGCCCTTCCTATCCCCCTCCACCTTCCCCACCCCACCACCAATCCCTGGCCCACACCCTTGTTGGTCTGTCACTCAGTCTGGGGAACTAACCCGTTTCTAGTGCCCTCCTCTGTTCTACCAGGGAGGGACGTTTGGATTTCTCTCTGCGCCCCCAGTCCTCCCAGACGGCCCCCTACCCACGTTCTCCGTCCTCCCAGGTGACTGGAAAGTGCTGAGGCACCGGGCACTGAGAAGCTGCTGAGTCGGCGCTTCCCCAGCCGGTCCGAGTCCTCGGCGTCCCCCGGAGCAGGTGGAGCCGGGACAGCGAACCTGAGCCTCCCTCCCCCTCCCAGCCGGGTCCGCCCGCCCCTTGCGTCCCTCCTCGGTCACGAGCTCCCGGCACAGCCCGGCAGGCTCCGAGTCGGGTGCGCTGCTCCAGCCGGCGGCACCGGGGGCGGGGGCGGGGCCCGGGGCTAAGCGTTTTTCCCTCCCCGGGTACCCCTATACCCACCGCTGCCCCACCCTCGCGCCCTCAGGGGAGGGGGCGCCCTGCTCCCCTCCGCAGGATGCCCTCCCGCAGGCTGGGATCCCTACCTTGCAGCAGGCTCCTGAGCCCGGGCAGCATCTTGTCTCGACGCTCGGGGGAGAGGGCGGCGGGGGG